AAATCACGTACAATACGTGATCAATGTGATATTCGTGGTCAGTTGTCGCAGCTCGCTATGCTGTACTTCCACACAAATTCTTCTTTTAGTCCTTTGCAGCCACCTACCATATGTCTACCGTATCCTTCCCCGTAAATAGCTCCAAAAATGGCGTCAATGCAAAACTCATATGTATTGGTGATCAGCTTTCACAGTTTGTTGACGCTGTGCACCAATCCGTTGAATTCCTCTCCCCCCCCCCTTCTCCCTCGGGACCAGGGTAATCGCTTAATCCAATCGGTTCCCGTATCGATAGGCGTTATGAGCGCAAAACAGGACAATACCCACTTGGTATGGCGGATTACAGCTTGGCATCGAGCGCATTCGATTTAGTGGCGCCGCTGACGTTAGGACGGGGGGGGGGGGATGTGATTGCGTTGCTGTGCTACCGATAGCCGTCGCTCATCATTGTCATGTATTATTTGCTCTCGAGCCCCATCACGGATTAAATCCCTATTGATCCGATCCGTCGACGCGCCGTTACTGATTCGTAACAGATGTCCGACTTCGTTTCGAAACGCTCTATGCGGCGGCGTTGAGTCAGAATCTTGCTCCTTTGATGCTTTTCGTTTAGTTTTTGAATACAGTTCTAATTTGATTGATTTGACCCAGATATTCGTTCCCTGTTAGGTAGTTTTTGATAAAAACTATATCTATGGTTTTTGGTAGAAATTTACCATCGGGATTTTTTTGCCTTTTCGCTTACTTTTTACTGCTCATATTTTTCTTTGATTTCGAGAATTTTTATCCATTTACTTGCTTATTACACTTTTGTTTGAAAAATGCTATTGAAAAGAAAAGTATAGTACATACGAAACCTAACAAGGCCAGCGCATTCTTCATCGTATAAAATTGATTTCTGATTCGAATTTAGCTCAATATCCACATGGAGTAATTATCACAATTTTGATTTTTCTTAATTTTCTAGATTTTCCGAGTGTCATTACCAACAAACAGAAAGAAAGAGAGTTGCTGATTTGCCGGGTTTTCAAAATTATCAGTGTTTATTCAAGGCCAAATGGACTTATGAAACTGTTTATAACCATAATTTTTTTTTAAATTCAACATTCCGTATGCGCCTTGAATCTGTCCTTCAGGATAAATCCTGAAATCCCTTTTTATGATCGTAGACTGATGTTTCTAGTACAGACTACTTCCAGTAATAATCCTTCCTGAGTAGACTCGACCGTCTATCAAAAGTTTTATTACAATCTATTCGGACTTTATGCACAATGTCATATTTGATTGTGTTTTCGCAAAATTCAGAATACAAAGTCAGTAAATTATTCCAGTGAAGTCTCTGTGTAGTTCTATGTCTTTTCTGTGTGGTTTTGGGTCGACACTACGGCAAACAAAGTAATCCTCTAGAATGATGACATTTACTGAGTCATTAAGAGATTTTTTTCTAAAGTTCCGTCTTCTTTTTGTTCTAATAATACATGTATTCCACTGCTGCTGCTGGTATTAGTTTGTTCTGTGTATTGTTCCACCCTGCTTTTTTGTTTCCCGATTTTTTTCCTCAAGGATTACCTGTTTTGCTCCCATGATTTTTTGGTGTATTACCAAATCATTGTAAACAGCTTAAAAAATAAAAAAGGAAAAATCTAAGTCCTTTCTTGCAAAGCACTTCTGTTAGTTTTTTCTCGTCTTGCTCATTATCTTTTCAGAGCCTCCTCTTTTTTGTGATAAGATGATAGAAAAAAATTAAATAATTAAAAGTATAAAATATCTAGGAAATAGATACTATGATATGAAAAAACACAATAATCTTTGTTGCTACTTGATTCTCTATCAACATCAAGGACCTGAACTAAAAAAATTTGGTTTATTTACCATTATTTACATCATCGTGTTCCTATATAATTTTTTTGAAAATTTTTTCTTTTAATTCTACATCGTAAAGCAGGAAAGAAAGCGCAAGAAAATCGTTTAATGAATTAAGAACAAAAAAGAATTTGAATTGCTTAAAAGTTCCCGTTTCAGCTGTATTAGAAATAACCAATTTAGTTCCTAAGACTGATTTGGACCTTCGATTTGAAGTTTGTTTGACGAATAATGTGTGTATATAGCTGAGCCTTTGAAAGTGAATTTCACATTATTCGATTTCCTCAACTGTACTTACTTAATTAATTGAGGAGCAAATACATAGTTTTCTTCAAGAAACATTCACTATCGTTGCCTTCACAGTCTCCGACCCACTGTCATTTTGACATTTTTCCTATACTATGGTACTGAATTGTACAAAAATTTCCTTGTGTAATTCCCCTAACCGCATTTCCCCGAATCGATTTTTAAAAACTGATTTTACAGGGCAACCTGTGACGTCTTTCCACTTGATAACGGCAGCGTGTCAACGCTTTCGCTTTTCTTATCACCGACATTTTATCACCCGCTGCACGACGCGCATAGCGGTTGCCTTTTACAGCTTGAAATGTACAACTTTTTGTCAAAGGACAAGCTTGAATTGCTTAGAGGGCTTTGTCACGATTTTCGGTGGCTTCGCGTTACCTTCACTTCCCTTATTGGAAGTCAACGCGCTCGAAATTTGTTTGAGCGTGTCTTTCCTCGGTAATTTCGGTTGTTTTCAAAGTACAGTCCATACAAAAACCGTTTTGTGATGTATCTGCACTTCTATACAAAGCTCAGTCAATACCAGCTCATCGATTTCAATTTGCCAGTGAGTCAGACCCGCTTTTTCAATTCCAGATCATCTGTTCAGTAATAGATACTCATCCTTCTTGTCTGTTATGAAATTTCTCTGCTTTCCTTGTTTGGATTCATCTGCTATCTGGACCCGCAATTGTGAAATTGTCGTACTTTTCATTTCCAATTTGGCCTTTTCATCAAAGGGGCCATGTTTTTGCAATCTCGATTTTTTCAAAAGTCATGATGTAGACTACAGTAATTTTTGAGGATGAAATGGTATAGGGATGGTAATCACAGTCAAAATCTCGTGTTAAGTCCTCTTAAGGGCGGGGCATTACTCTACGCGATTTCAGTCGCGACGCGATTTGGCAATATTCCAATTGTTCATAACTCACTGTAAGCACACTTCAAATGTACAGAAGATGGGGCTTTTTATCAATTTACTAAGTTATACACACTATCATTTGCAGTTTGCTACTATTGGATTTGAAGACTTTGGCGAATTGCCAAATCGCGTCGTGACTGAAATCGCGTGAAGTATACCCAGCACTTTAGAGTTTAATCAAAAATCTTTGCGAACTGACACCATGGTGTTTGTGATTTCACATGATACTTGAAATATTTCTTGGTAAAATATAAACATCTGCAACCATGAGAGAATTGAAGAAAGAAGTCAGCTGATTGGAAACGCAGATAAAACTAATGTACGATACTTTATAACTCATGATCACTGATTTGATTGACGGTTTTTTCACTAATCGATCCCTTTCCTTAGAATGGTATGAGTTGCGAAATTTGTAGCAGTGTTTGCGGTAATACGGAACTTGAACGACGGCCCTTACTCATATGTTTAGAAACATTTATGCCTTTTGTCATTGAACGGCAAATCAAGCCTGAACATCAAGTCACACTTAACTGGACTTCCCTTAGTTTTGTGGAAGAAGAACTAAAGTGGGATTCTTGTCAATATTTATTTATTTGTCACTAATATTTGTTTATTTACATGCTTATATTGCACAAACAAGGCGGGGAGGAGCAAAAACAGTCAATTTTTACTGACGATGAGTTGTTTGAGCAAAATCTGATTTTCTTTATCAAGTAACTTTGATTCATAGTCTCTTGGAGTAAATAAACTGAATGTCAATGATCAAATAATTAGATGACGTTGAACTCAAGACTTGAATAGGTATAACATAATCAATTTTGTGTTGATGAATAAGTATGTATATGGAGTTTATCAATTTTTGAACAAAACTTTTACAAAATATAACTGTAGAAATTCTCTATATTTCGAATGCATATAATCCCTAACAGCTGCTTAGGATGGTGGTTGACCCAGGATAGCCTGTCTTTGATAGTGACCTCCCATGCCGACATAGGCGGTTTCATCTTTACCCTTTTATTCATTTGTAGCACAAAAAGGGCGCCTTCGACTAGTCAAAAAGTTAAGGCGTCACAAAGGAAAAAAAGGAACTTGGTGATATAAAACTATACTAAAAAATTAATAACGTCACCAGTCACTAGGTTTGAAGGCAGTCTGCTATTGCAAAATTAACATGAAATGAAATAGAATTACCGCATCTAGAATCTCCATCTTCCCATTTTGTATATAATTTATATAATAGAAACAGGGGTAAGATGAATATAATACTATACTACAACAATTCAAATGAAGGACTCGCTAATCTTCTTTTTGGCACTTATGTTATTCTTCTTTTCAAATGAATTATTCCCCCTCAAACGAGTTGCATTTCTTCATCCACTTACAAAGCATACTACGGTAATTAAAAAACTAACTACTATCGTTCATTTTCGGACTAAGGGATACCAAGCTTTGCGTACTTCTGTTTAACAAGTTTATGAATGCGTTTTAACGCGTCTTGGTAATTACTAGAGGAATTCGTGGGAAGAACATGTTTAAACAAGCGTTGTTTAACAAGTTCGAATATGTTCCTTCAGAAAATCCTAATAGTAGATTATCCCAAACGCGTTAGAACGCATTCATGAACTTGTTAAACAGAAGAAGTACGCAAAGCGGCTCGTATCCCTTAATAGACTGAATGATTTGAATGGATTGGCGATCAAATAAACAAGATACTTGATTTTCCTTCAGTTTTTTCTAATTTTTTGACTTTTGGTCTCAGATGCCTCTCTTGTCCCACTTACAACGCTTTTTTTCTGCTTTACTCCATATACTCGTCCGATTCGGTGTAATGTGCCATAACATAGCCGATCGCAGTCGTTCGCCCCATGTGGTTTTTCTTCGCGCATTCGTCGGGCGCGGGGGTGTCCACGAAGTGACCTTCACAAAGAGTCGAAGTTTCAGTGTTCAATCTCAGCTGGTGGTATTGCCTCGTTCGAGTGTGTCTGTGTTTGTGCATTTGAGGCCGGAGTGTTCGCTTGACAGACAGTTAGACAATATGGTACATCTTCCAGAGGATGCTCCTTCACCAAGACTATGCTTGGTGGAGAAAGCATCACCAGATCAGGTATGATATTTCAAAAATTTGATTTGTTTAGATTTTTTACTGGTTTTCTGCATCTATTACCTGGTTCATACATTGTCAGGAATCTAATGCTACATTTGAATACAACTTGTAGACTTGCTACTCTTTCTCGCGATAATACCTCGCGACGTAGTAAAAAACGGGGCTCGGCATGAGGTGGCTTTCCGAACATGCAAAATACGAAATCCCCCTTGACTTACCCAACATTACAATGTCCCCTTTCACGGCTCGGCACAGTTAGCTTGTAAGCAGGCTGGATATAGTTTTTGGGACAATCAAAGGGGCTATCGTTTTTGTGGGTCCAAAATTGGGTATTTTGGTCGACGTTTCGTTCTTTTAGTCGATTCAGATGTTCTGGATACGGTTCAAAGGGGACTTCTTTGAAGTGAAATTCTGCGAAAGTCAGGGGGAACTTTGTTTTTTGCGTTTTCGGAAAGCTACCTCGCGCCGAGCTCCGTTCAAAAATCTGAAGAAATCTACCTTTCGTTAAAAAGAACTTATTGCATTCGACTTTTTGTCACTTTTACGTACCGAATAAAAAAGTGTTTTTTTTTGTTTATTTCAAATTCCAAACTGGGGGCTGTGAGCACTCCAGTAATCCACTTTATTTTGATAGTTATGAAATTTTAAGGGTTTTATCGCGCAAAATCTGCCGTAAATCCTCTTTTTCGGAAACCGGGAGCTGAATTGCACTGCTAAATTTCTACAGGGTGTGTCCAAAGGGTTTTGAAGGAACTGTCTGATAGTTACTGGGGGGGGGTCGAAAGGGCTTTGCACGAGGTGGCTTTTCGAAAATGCAAAAAAACGAAGTCCCCCTTGACTTTTGCAAAATGTTACGAAGTCCCCTTTGACCCTTATTCGAAATATCGGAATGCACCAAAAAACGAAACTCTCCCACTAAAACACCTAATCTCGGGAAATCATTGGATTGCCGTAGTTTTTTTAAAATTATTTCATTTTGAATTCAGTATCTTCCCATTGGAAATCTGTTCTCTTAGTATCTTAAATCAGTCTTTTTTTTCACCTTTAAATCTGCTCCGGTCATCTTATGATATGTTATTTCCATTTATTGATGGTTTTTCTCTTTTAAAACTCACATTCAAATGCCGATCTTCTTTTTATAAATTTCCATCCCCCCCATCTCCCGCCATGAAAATTTTTGTGTATTTTGTCTAACCTTGAAATCTTGATGCTAGCAGAAATTAACCTTCCACGTCTGTTCAATTATACATAGTTGTGTCCTTGAAATTTATGTCACCGTAATTATTGTATTGCCATGACTTAAAATTGATATTTTATTCGAAAAAATAAGACCTGTGACACCCTTCATGAAATTTCTGAAATTTGTTTGCATTACTAAATCAAAAAAAGCAAAGGTTTGCTATGTCTCAATTTTATGTGACTATTAGAATACTTATTTTAGAGTCAGATGTCTAAAAACTCAGAAACTTGAAAACTTCTCATTTGAAAAATTCCTGATTCTAAATATGAAAATGATTTTTGATTACAAAAATAACAACTTCAATGATGAAAATATTTGTTTGCATATTTTTTATTTTCTTTGAACAATTACAGTTTTGAAAAAATTCTGTATTCTCCAGGAATATGGCTACAATCTACATGCTGAAAAGGGACGTGGTCAGTATGTCGGGATGGTTGACAAGGTAATATTTATCATTTTTTTGTTCTTGCAAATTTACGATTATTATCATAATGCGATATAATTGATGAAAATTTGCGTTTTAAACAATATTTATATGCCGACAGGTCTGGAAACAATTAATTATGGAAATCATGTTGAATTAGTCTTGACAAAAAACCATGGGGATTTGTTCTGAGGGTGTACGCATAATTTAGTCGATATTATATATATTTTTTGTAACATATAATAAATTTTTAATTTATTTTAAACATCAGAGATTTTTTTGAAGCAAATAAAATATGCGATAAAAAGTCCGGATATTGCCAGCACGAGCCTTTCAATCAAAGGAGTAAGTTGTAGAACCACCTTCAAAAGTAAAATTGAATTTTCTTGGTTTCTTTCAGTATTTTGCGGAAATTGAGCACTATTTGGGTGCTTCCTCTCATCTTTAGCTTCGCGATATGCGGATATGGATTTTTGCTCCGAACAAGTTCGGAGTGCATGATATTTTTCTCTTTTTTAAGCTATATAAAAATCAAATGAGTATGTTGTAAGTAGGAAAAATTACGATTTAAAAAAGAAAATCTCATAAGAATGAACCAATGTATAATAATACATTTTGATACTAGAATAGAAATTTTGCGTTTCATTTAGTGTAAATATACCAAGCTACGATGCTCAAGTGATCAACTCGTCTTACAATGGCATAGCCTTGCAGTTTTGCCTTAGAATCTCATAAAGTGCCGATTTCTGTGAATTTTGTCTAATAATTCTTATGCAATTTATTTTTTGTACTGAATACTGAATGGATTAGTTTTCGAGAACTAGACCACCCGTGGGAGTGTACCCCTTGATTGAACTGGCTTGGCGGCTAAAAGGCGGGTCTTCGCGACCTAATTAAAGTTAGTTGATATCAGAGAGCACGCGCGCGGGAAAGGCGCAGGCTGCGCCGCGGGCGCGAGCGGCCTTAAATTAGGTCACAAAGCCTCGTCTTCCAGCAGTTAGGGCAGTTGAATCAAAGGTTAGGAACAAGTTGATACACGATTACTTTTTACTCGGATTCGTTACAAAGTCATTTTTGCCCCCACCAAGTCACCATCTGGTCGTTTTCTTACATTTTTCTGTAATAGACTGAGTCAAAGGCAAAATTGTACAAGTTCCGCAAACTTAGCATCATTCTAATTTCTAAAGCAGTTCAAAGCAACCGTTCAGGGATCCCCAGCCGATCTTGGTGGACTTCGTATGGGTGATCGTATATTTGCCGTTAACGGACACAGTATCATCGGCGAGAGTCACAAGAAGGTTAGTCTAATTAAATTTTTTTCCATTTCTCACCTATTTTTGAAGGTTTACCAGCACTCACTAGCAGTTTTCTGCTCCTCTTTTGTTTTTTCTCAGTTAGTTCGCGTTTCTATGTTGGACTTAAATTGGAGTAATTCAATTTCTGTGAAGCACTATAAATCAAGGCGATCCCGGGATATTGCTCTCCCAAACTTCTCCCTTTCAAGCTTTCCGGACTTTCCGTAGCCCAAAAATCTGAGGAAGTCACAAAAAATTTTCGCTTCCGATTCTTTCACTGAGTTTTTTCCAAGTTTTTCAGCCCGAAAGTTTTGACGAGGGAGCGTGGCGTCCCACTGAACACGTGCCGAAATTTTGTTGCCTTCAGAAATTTTCTTTTTGTCAAGCTTCAAATTTTTTGCAGCCCACATTTGAAGGGGCGTGGCGTCCCAGGAACGCATCCGAAACTTTGCCAAGCTTTCGGAGTTTTAGCAAATCACAATTCTAAAAAATGAAGAGGGTTTTGGGCTTAATTTTGAATATCTATCTTACAAAATTGATCCACTTGAACCCTAACCATACTGCTTGGACTCGAATAGAGAATAAATCGTAAGATATTTTGCGGGGCATTTGAATCAATCCTTAACCCCCTCTCCATTCGGAAAAAAATGATTTTCCAAGATTTTCAGGTCGTCGAACGAATCAAAGAGAACGCTTTACGTTGCGAAATGTTAGTGATATCCGAGGAGGGTGCAAGGTGGTATCAAGAACACGGCATCGAAATTAATATGCAGTTGCCAAATATAATAAAAGTTGGAGGCCAGGTAAACCTGCTTTCTTTTTTTATCATTTTTTGAAAATTTTCGTTATTTACTCCTTTCCAAAAGTGTAGAATATGTTCCGAACAATGAAAATTATATAGTCGAGTCATCGCATGCAGAGAATGGACGCGTTGCGTTCTGAGATAGTTTGTATGTTGTAGAGACGGCAGACAGTAAAAGAAAGGAAACGCCGTCCGCAGTGACGCCCCTTCTCTGCGTTCATTGACTTGCTTATAATCCAGTCTCATTTCATATCCTAGCGTGCGATTGCACATACTGCACACCTTGCGCGTTTTATCCTGGATTTCGTTGGTCTTTTCGCACACATTCCTGCACTCTAAGTGTTTTTTAGCCAAAAAACCAACAAATACATTGAAAAGTGTTTGCTTCGTAGAAAGGCCGTAGTGGTAACCCAACAGGATCTAGGAGTCTACGGCAAAGGGTGCTGTTGTGCAGTTACACAAATTGGCATATGAAAACTAGACCGAATAAATTCCAGACTGATTTGCAATGTTTAGAATGCTTAAATTTATGAAAGCATCACGTCATTACTTTGGTTATGTGAGAAATGCTTTTTATTAAATTCAGAAATGCTTTTTATTAAATTCTCCCACCATTTTTCGCCCCGATAAAATCGTGGTTTTATCAAATAGCGTAACATTGATACGTCAAAGTTTACACAAAGATCTTTACCTGGAAATTGTTCAAATTTCAAAAATTTCTTTTATTAGGCTAGCCGACGAGGAACTCAAGCAAATGGTAGCCCTCCGCCTGCTGCTGGCTGGTATGCACCCAGCAACAAGGTGAGTTCTAGAAATCTCGTAATTTTAGATTTTGTTCTTGGCATGCTTAGAATTTTGAAGAATTTGAGCAAAAATTCCACTATGTGATGCTTCAAAAAAAGTCATCCTCTTTGAGATTATCTTTATTGCCTTTCTTCCCTACGATGTTCGAGTATCTAGGGCTAAATGCTCTCAATTAAGGTGCTTTGAGAAAAGAAACGACAAGCTATAATCATATTACAACTCTTGGAAGCTTGCCAAAATCGCATAAATCATTCTTAACTAGCTGGCTTACCCGGCTCCGCCGTATCTGGACCAAACTTGGCACACATACACTTCGGGTCCCGGCGGGTGTCACAGTCCACTTTTCGTTATCGATCGATGTCGATTTTACCGATTTTTATCGATTTTTTTGCAGAGTTCACCTACAGGGCTAGGAGCTGGCACAGGGGGGAAGTGAGCATGGGGATTCCGAATACAATATTAGTTTTCAGAATTATCGATTACTTTTATTGATTTTATCGATTTTTTGTAAATTTTGACATGCGAGGCTGGGATTTTGCACAGGGGGTAATCGAGCATGCTGATTACGAACACAATATTAGTTTTCAGGATCGTCCATTACTTTTATCGATTTTATCGATTTTTTTGTAAAGTTTGACCTGCGGGGCTGGGAGTTTGCACAGGGGGTAATCGAGCATGCAGATTACGAATACAATATTAGTTTTCAAGATCGTCCATTACTTTTATCGATTTTATCGATTTTTTGAAAATTTGAGCTAGGGGGCTGGAATTTGGCACAGGGGTGTAATCGAGCATGCTGATCACCCCCCTTGGGGATGATCAGCATGCTTGCTTACCCCCCTGTGCCAACTCCCAGCCCCCCAGCTCAAACTTTGCAAAAAATCGATAAAATCGATAAAAGTAATCGATAATCCCGAAAACCAATATTGTATTCGGAATCCCCATGCTCGATTACCCCCCTGTGCCAACTCCCAGCCCCGTAGCTCAAACTTTGCAAAAAAATCGATAAAATCGATATCGATCGATACGAAAAGTAGCCTATGACACCCGCCGGGGCCCGAAGTGTATGTGTGCCAAGTTTGGTCCGGATCGGTTCAGAAATGGAATTTTCTATTCGGAACATACGTACAGACATACAGACATACATACAAACAGACATTCAGCTTTATATATAAGATACGGAGACAAAACATTCTTTGGTTCCTTGATTTATCTCTCCGCGCTTCAAATGCCGGAATGTATAGAAGCTACAAGCATTCAAATGCAAATGTACTCACGAGTGCGTGGGAACGTTAGTCATGTGTTTTGATTGAACAGGGTGATAGTGAGTGGGAATGTCCCGGTAGTTTTGATTCTGTAAAATTTTGTATCTCACAATAATGCAGGGGATGGGGCAATTGGGAGCACGGACTGTTTTTCTACGGCTTGGCGTAAAGCGTGTAAAAGCAAATTTCTATAACTTTGAACCTAACTCTCGCCCACACCGTACTCTTTCCAGCAGACTAATCGGCGTCCCGACGATATGGGCGAGAGTTTGAACTTGAATCTCATGAATTATACGAGCTCTGGCTGGGGCAATGGCTCAGTTGCTTTTCATGCATTTTCCAAATGAGAAATCACTCTTTTTTAATTGGGCGGTGCCTATAAGTAATGTATGCAACCTTTTCTACCCCGTAAGTCCCTTCCCAAACAGAATTATTTCCGCGTTTGCCAGTTTCATTTTGTTTCCATGGCAGTAAAGTGTCATTCATACAATGACTCAGATGCGCTGCTGAATTTTGTTGTGCAAATTCTGATCTTGGCATCGTTTAGCTTTCGTTCTATAGCAGTGTAATATTGTGAAGTTTGCTTCGACGCATGTGCTGCCATAGATTTCTAAATTCGAGATAGGGTTGATAATTGACTCTCTTAAGGTCGCTTCCTTCAAGCGGACGCAATAAGGGTCTTCGAACGGGCGAAATTTTTGAAAGTTACTTACATGGGTTATAAAAATGTGCACGTGACTTGTTTACTTTTGCAAACAATTAAAATCAAACAAACATTAAAATTAAACATTTTAAAATTAAAAAAAAAAACAAATCAGCCTTATAAAAAAATTTTTTTCGGGGGCGTGGCCGACGCCACGCCCCCTTTTCCAGATTTTAGGGGGTTGGGCGCCCGCAAAAATTTTGGAAAGCCCCCAAAAATTTTTTAGAGTGCGTGGGTGACGCCACGCACCTTCATTTGAAAAAATTTTTCGTTGCCCCCCCCCCCCGAGCCGAAATCCTGGGTACACCACTGGAGAGCGGGTATGATTCGGGCGAGAGTTCAGAGTTTTAGATTGATGTAGATCCTACCCAGCATGATTCTCTGAATGCACTAAAACATTTATCAAAGTAAAACACTTGATGTAAAGATAGAACAAAATTTATTGCACCCTAAATTGCTTTGTCCATACAGACCAATTAGCTTCGACTACGGTGACGTACGGTCCAGGCGAGGACGACTTAGTGTTTGATTTAGTTTAGAGAGAGTTTCCTATTATTAGGTCATCCCAAAAGTTGTTTCGTATCAGACTTTTCACCAGCATAAGTCTGCTCTTCTTAGACTTCTGATGAGAAGCGGAGTACCATTCGAAAGATTAAAGCAAGCTCTACAATATGGCTTTCGAAATTTCGTATTAGGCTTGATCCGCATCGAGTTTTAAGACAAAATGGAAAAAAATCCAAAATCCCGAAAAAACAAAAATTATCGTATCTTAGTTCAGAAATATTCTGCAAAGTTCCCACTTGCTCACGCATATACTAATCTTTTTTGGAGTTTGCATAAAGGGTACGTAGCAAATCAAGTTTTTTGAGATGGAATTGAAAATCAAAAAATTAAAAGTACCCTATCCAAATGGACTGTCAAAATTCTCAAGTATAGTAAAGAGTACGATTTCGGCGAGAACTCAGAATTCAGTTCCAGCTTTAGCTTACTCCCAATCATGTAATAACTTTTCGTAATATTGCCATCAGAAGCAATAACTTTCTTCGATCGGACCAATCAGCGTCTGAGAGTAGTATGGGCGAGAGCTTCATGTTCGGTACCTCATAAAGTAGTATGGTTCCATAAATTTGCATCAAAAGCATTTACCCTATTCGCGCGGACCAGTCAGCGTCTAGGAGTACGGTAGAGAGCACGGTATGGGTGAGGGCCTAAAGTCCGATTTCGTCCACTTTTGAGCGTTTGCTACTGAAGCAGTATGCTCTTCTAAGACTTGCATCAGAAAAACTTACCTTCCAGGTGCAGTGCCTTCTAATACGATAGGGATTACGGTCTGGGCGAAAAATTGACGTTAGAGTTTTCGGCAACGATTGAACTAGTATCTATTTATATGAAAGCTCTTGGCGTAGAGATGACGTTTTTGAATTTCTACTCCTCCGTAGACTCGTCATCTTCCACATGGAGCTATTCATTGCCCATTTCATAAGTTTATACAATGAATAATGTGCTCCGTTGCCTCACGACCCGCGGCAATGCTTTCCTTCCCAGGATTAACAGTCGGTCGTTTAGTCATCGTCACAGTCATATTTTATTCGGGGCTCGCGCCGCTTCGGTCACGATCGTCGTCGTCCCCCCATTGCTTAACGTCGTCGTTTCGCTTCGTTCATATCGCCTCTTCTCGTCCCTCTTCGCCCCCCTCCATCGCTTTTTCGCCCCCACGATCAGCGCCCCATCGTCGGGATGCTTCTAGAGCTTTTCGCTCTGGTGATATTTTTTCTGACACTGTGTAAAATTGTCGACGAGGATAGTAAGAAACGAATAGACCAGGCGCTATCGGAGCATAAGACGATTATCAGGGTGGGAGAAGACGAAACGAGCGAAATGGAAGTTTTTGTAGGTTTTTTCTAATTTTTTTGGTCTTTTTTTTTGCTGAATGGTAGCCAATTATTGCGTTTGCATGCATAATATATGGTCATATATATCATTAATAGCGAGCAAAATTTAATTATTCTGCTATGAATGGATCATGTCTGTAATTACGGCTTCTTGATCACGAGATTGAAATGCGTTTTGATCTGTTCGTACTTGTAAGCTTTCTTCACTTCACATCTTGACATGAAAAAATTACAAAAGATCTCTGGAGATGGCCATTTTGCACAGCAAAATCCATTAGCACCGTGCGTAATTCGTTTAGGCATGTGCCCTTGCGGCAAAATTTCCCTCGCCCCTCTTTTTGAGATCGCCGCAAACGTGTCGCACGCGATCGCGGTCCTGTACGGAAGTGTGACAGTCGCTGCGGGGCGGCCTGCTTTCACTCAATATTGTACGTCATTTATTTTTCTACAAAACCATTAATTCAGATATTGCTATAATGCATAAATTTGAAAAAGTTTAAAAACCTCTCACTTTGTAATAAGAAAGTATAGTGAAGAAAAATCATATTTTATTTCCATGAACGATCATAATAGTTAGAATTGAATTATAGTAAGATACGATCGAATAAAAAATCTGAAACATCAGTTCAAATTCAAATAATCGGTGATTTCCGTACAAAATCGGCTTACTTCCTTAAAATGTGATTGTAACAATCTTCTAAGACATTTCCGTTTCAGTGTAAGCTTATACCAGTGAGATCACCACTCAGGGCCCGGCACCGATGGTTTGGGAACTGGACTTCGTTTTTGGAGTTAGAAGCAACGGGGACATCGTTTTTATGAGGTCCTGGAGGAAGCGCCAAAAAAACGCGACGAACATGTCGGGTTTCACGAGTTGAACGTGTGTTCTTTCGCAAGCGCGCGAATTTCAAATGCAAGACTCAAACAAGCAAATGGCTTGTTTACAGCGCACAAACAATCACATGGCTCCAAATTTGAGTTATATGTATACAATATTACCCCAAACTATGTTATGTAAAAAGTTCGCGAAACTTATGTGTCCTAATATCCGTTCTCGAATTTGTTGGTTTCTAGACCAACTACTGAACCAACTGGGTTGGTTCGGAGCATAAATATCGGAGAGTTCACATAAGTTTT